CTCCGGACTAGGTACGTCCCTCTAAGTCTTCCTACCAATATGGCTAAGTTGCAAAAACAAGGCCAAACAACCTCTATACATTGAAAGGATACTGCGACCTGACGAAAGGTCACATCATCTTGGTTTTCATACCTTCGAGAAACTATTTATGCTTGCTTGATATATTGAAGGAGAGAGAGTCTATTGCGCCGCCGTCTAAAAGAAGGCAACTTAACTTGTCTGCTCGGTGATAGTTCTAATTTCACTCACACTCATCCATCATGTTGGATTAGGCTCATCAGCCAAACTAGAAGTGTCAGATTCCACAGCCTTAGTCATGCCTTTCCTTGGGGGGTTAAACGTTAATGACCCTAGTCCGAAAGGTTAGGATAAGTGGTTTCATAACTTGACTTACATGCTTACAAGCTCATTTCTTATTATCTCAACCATACTTGCTCACGGACATACGCAGTATCGGTCAGGACTTTCTTTTAAGTCATTAGACCTTGATGAACAGAGCCTGACCTTAGCCTTTTGACAACTCTGATTTAGGACCGGTACTGTGTATAGACGCTAACACACACACACACATACACACCTGCACACACTCGAGCAAAAGTAGCAGGACCAGTAGGAAAGGCAATTAGCCAAACGACTCTATATCTATCAAGGTTTTTAATTTTCTTTTGGATGAATTGAGTTTATATAAGAGCTAAGATAGAGCCGGATAGTTTTCTTTCCCTCGTGTTAACTTGAGACTTTTACAGGAATAAGACCCAGCTCTGATGATGTCCATTAAATGATAGACGAAAGCTCAGCCCGTTTCACCCGAAACGAGGGAGGACGTCTCGTGGACTGCGTCAACCTGAACGTCGTATAAAGGCCAAACGGCTGCAGTGCAACGGGATTCATCTTCTGCTGAGATTGACCAACGAATCTCTTCTTCATGCACTTTCATAACAAATAAAAGTCCCCCCAATAATGTTATCTCGAGGAGATTTATCGAGATCTAGTTTCTCTTCGTATCTAAGGTAGACATTCTTGAGTAACTTATATTATGTAAACTGAAAGTATAAGACCAAGATGGTGTGGCCTTTTTTGTGGTCGCAGTCTCCTTCCGTAGTATAGAAATTGT